CCGAAGCATCAGTGACACCCTAATGAAGGTGGTGAGACTGTATTTTACAAAAAACCCTAAAAAAACCCCACAACCAAGAACCTTTATTTCTCTTTTAAATCCAGATATTACTGTAGCTGTGAACTTTCAGCATGGTGTATTATCCTGGAATTATAGCTGAACAGCTTTACTACATTTCCACCTCTGATTAATTAATAATTTCTGCAGGTGTGATATCATATGGATTTAGAAATGCATGTACAGGAATACATAACTGCCCATTCCTGGTCTATACAGGACCTGGATAGCATCCAAATTAAAACTTCTTCAATGACAATCAAGACAATTTATTTCTGCACCACATGATGGATCAGAAAGTCTTTCATAAGGCGGTTAAACATAAACCAAGAAGAGTTAAGTCAATACGAAAAGTGGAGAAAAGACATGGAATCTAGGAGACTGAATTCCTTTTGGGTGTGGATGACAACTAGAGCACACTTCATCTCAGAGTGAAGAGGAAAGATGAAATGGAAGTAGAGAAATCAGCAAAAGAGACAGCAGATCTGAAACATGAGAAACAAGAACTTGAAGAGACAACTTTAATTGGACTTGGTAGTAGCTAGTAAGCAGATGAAAAGAGTCTTGAACCTCTCAGCAAATCATCACACAATTCTTGACTTGTAAAATTTCAAACAGGGATTCTTGAAAAACTAAGGAAGGATTAAGCAGTTATACTAAGTTATTGCTGAAGTTTGACAGATCTACAAGGAGAGGTAAGAGTCTAGTTCAAATCCATCTGTGTCATGTGGGCGCTTTTTAAAGATGTACAACCTTAAGGATTTTCATCTAATTCTTCTAATGCGTCAAGTCCACGTTGACACAATCTTTTGCACAGAAAATTCCCACATTGCCTTTGGCCATATTAAAATCCTCAAAGGCATCCCTTTGTTTCTGTTTGTAGAGTTCCTCCTGGTTACAAGAGAAAAAAATGGCAATTCCTTTCATATCTTATTTGAGTGGGTAAAGCACTTACCTAGAGTATATGAGAGTTTATTCTAACCCTTAAGAGCATTACCGTTTTCCAAGCACTATCCTATCTCTTATCCTATAAATTTAGGAAAGAATCCGTTTATCCCATTCCTCCTCCTGATGCCCTTACACCATTCTGTAAGAAAGGGATTCATAGGCTGTTTATGCATTTCCTTAATATTTTCACATAAGCAGTCTTTGGTGGGGGGTTTTGATATTAGAAGTTTCTTTTCAAGACTATAAAGATCAAGGTAAACCCAAATTGCAACTTCCAGAGACATCTACAAATCTCAGAAAAAGCATGATAGAAAAAAATATACCGTTTCTGAGGTTATGAAAAATAAACGTAGAGAGACTAAGAGATAAACTCAGATTCTTGGGGCTCTCAGGAGCAGTTTCATCATCAGTGAATAAAATTCATCATGTGTATATGGCATTCTTATGCCACAAAGAGCTACTTCTCACAAGCAATGCCTGTAAAATCACTTCCATCTATTATTCTACTCTATAACACAAAATATGATAAAAATTGAAGTTCTTACTGGACTTCTTTTACTGATCATTAAGGACTAGCAGATAACAAGTTAAAAAAAATAATCCAATTTCAAGAATGACCAACAGGCTTTTCCTGGGAGAAAAAAATTATGTCTGAATTAAGAATGCTGATGATGTGTACCAAAGAAAGAAAGGGACAAGACAGATTTTGAGGCAACAGCAGGAATGACAGAATCAAGACAGATGAGTACAGAATACGAAGATATTTTATTATTACATTAGTGTGTAATTTATGCTCAGTTAGTAATCTGCCATAACTCACACCTCTGTCTCTTTAAATAGCTCCATTTTCTACTCAGTCTGTACTTCCCCCCTGCAATCTTTTCATTACGATTTCAAGCTCAAGTTCAGCTTAGCAGAAGTGACTAGATCTGATATTTTTTCACTGTATGTCTGTACACATAACAAATACTTACTTAAAAGTTATATATGATCAAGAACTGTCCATTTTGTTATTTAAGAAAAAAAATACTAAAACTCATTCAAATTATCATCTACAAAATACTAAGGATTTGAAATATTTTAGTTTTAAATGAGCTTCACCATCTCTTCTGACTATACTAGGGCAGAACTGTAGCTACGATTAAGAAGTTTATATGAGCTGGTTCTGCAACTTGTCCACAACATTTTTAAAAGCTGAATTATGGCAATGGCAGAGAGTTCTTACAGATACATACTTATTCACCAGAATACTTTTAAGAGACTAAAGGCATTAACCAGACTTCAGGGAAGAACTGCTATTTTGAAACCGCATCTCCTTTCCTTTGTGCAGTGAATCAATGACCAGATGAACTCATATAAGACAATAATACTTCCTGCCTTTTCTTTGCCCAGCATTCAATCGGTGCATAGTAAAGATCACAGAAAAAAATTTGAGGCTCTAAAGACTTATGCCTTTACTGGTTTCAGTTCCTACTATTAAAAAGATGACTGTTCGCTTGGAGCCCTCAGCCCAGGAAAGATGTGGACCTGTTGGAGGAATTCAGATGATCAGAGGGCTGGAGCACCTCTGCTATGGTCTTTGAGATGTCAATGAGCTGAACGTGAAGTTAAATTAAAATTGCATCACTGTTTTCAGGGAAGCCTAGTGAAACAGAACCTTGCACAAATATATTGCACAGTAAAGGGAGCAGAGGCCCAGTCTACACTTTGTCAGCAAAAGTAGTAAGGTTTAGTCTAAAAACGTGAGCTAGTATTGAGCTACTGCCAGTCATGTGAAGTTGTCCTATGCAGTGGTTACAGGATGTCTGTGCAAGGCATTGATACACCTTATTCTCAGAGAATTCAATATCTGAATTTATTCACCTGTGAATGGAAGAGAGGGAATAAAAGGAGCAACTTTTGTCTGTATAGTCCTTGACAGTGGCAAAAGTTCTCCTTATTTCTATGAGATTTTGCATGCAACCCACAAAACCCAAGAATTCTATACACTTTTGTACATTACTTTTCTAAGTCTTACACCTATTAGGAAACTGTAATTAAGTAATTGGCTATGGAAAGTAGTGCATACAGCAAAACTGTACAGTCACATGCAGCTTCCTGCATGCGTAAATACCAATAGCTGATTGTCAGTACCTACACTCACAGAGCCTAATTACAAAATGCTATCCCTAACCTACACATTAACAAGATGTTAAACTGTTTATCTTCCAGTTTTGCAGATCGCAAGCAATATGACAGATTGAGCTCTCTATAATTAAGCTTACTCATGGGGGGTTTAAAGATGAATTGACATGGCATAGCACAAAAGAGGAAAGAAGGATATACCTTCTTTGCAGATATGACAAAGAGAATTTGCAAATACCAGAAGCTGCCTCTGTGATGTCTTCTGGCTCTGATATGCATTAATTTTTTCAACAAAGAAGCCTCCAAATATAAATTGTCACACAACAAATCAAAAGGTTATTTTCATAATTTGCTGGCACAGTTGCAATGTTCTGATGAAAGCCTTCCACGATTCCATTAGAAGCATGATGTGAACACCAGCATAGAGAGTTTTAGTATATGTTTTTATGGCTAATACATTGCTGGAGAAATATTCAAACTAGTAATCTAGAGAAAACAAAGCTGCTTCAGATGTGCTAGTTTCATGTTAACAAATAATATAATTCAAACAGAAATACTGATGTTTTTGCATCTGAAATTCATTAAAGAAAATTCACAGTACTTATATTGTTCTCCTTTTAAAATGTAGAGATACAGGACCTAGAAAATCTCATTCAAAGAAGGAGTAGTTGTTATGGCATAATAAACACTGCTGATCAATATACATGGCAAAAGTTTTTATAGTTTTAGTAATGAGATACTTTTGACCTTTTCAACCTTATGAGAAAACTGAAACTGAGCAAAGTGAACGCAATGTGTCTTTTGCCGGCCAAGAGAGGTACACTATAATTTTATTCTAATGCCAAAGAGCACATAAATAAAAAAACCACATCAATTACCTTTTACAATATTTAAAATGTTTCATGTTGCATTCAGCAACTAAACCTGCACAATGTCACATATGGCCTTAAAATTTTACAGCAACTCAGAAGTTTCTATGAGCTGGAAAATGAAGAAATAAAACACTTCAAGGTTTGACAAGCTATATGGAAATTACTTAAGCCACTATAAAGCTTGAGGAGGGCTCTTAAATTTGTTTAGGGTTTAACAATAAGTACAAATGTTTCCCAAACTATACCTTCCACAGCAGCATGTGAATTATATTAAGCAAATTAATACCATTAGTACCTTTTATGGGAAAGAAAAAAAGCAAACATAGGAATCTAAATGGAAAAAAACTTCATAGAGTCTAGATTCTGCTGTATGGCCTTTAAGATGTACAAATACTAAGATGGAAGATAAATTAGATAATATGATCTTATCACCTTGTCTTTGTAATAAAGCATAGCTATAGCAAACTGTGCTTACATAGTGTATTACCAAGAGGATAATATCCCTTTGAAGTAGTTAACTAACATAATTGATAAATTTTACCAATGGCTTTTACTTTTTTTTTTTCCTTTCGAAACCGAATAATAAATTCAGTATGGTATTCAAAATAGGAAGGAGAGATTTTCCTCAAAGGAAGGGATCCCTAGAACTGGATGTAAGATAACTTTGTCTGGAGACAACCAAACAAAATGTACGGCTTTCTGCCATATTCACTCTCAACAACTGGAAGATCTTTTTCCCTTGACCTTCTAGATTTCAAATATTAGACTGATATTATATTACTGCACATTTACGAAAATGAAGACATAAAATCAAACTAAAGCTTCAAAGAGCATTATTTTGTATGCAAAGTGGTAAAAAATTTTGTCATCCAGTTGACCTATCTTCCTTTTAAAATAATTCAATTTCTTATAAGAACAAAACTTAGAAAAAATATTATAACATTAAGAGACTAATTTGCAGATATAAATAAAAAGATTCACAGTCACGTTGGTACTTACCCACTGAATGCCTGGACTGCATAAAGCGTGGAAGTATCCAAGGAACTTCCACTTACTATCCGAGCCTTTAAGAAAGACCAAAAAAAGTACAGTTACTCAGTTGTAAGTCTTGGACAGAATTTAAATGCATCAAACATACAACACCTAATATGAAAATGTTTAGCAGGGTCAGCTCCAGGCCAAAGCTAGAGTAACTATTGCTTTGGAATACATTTTGGTAGCATTCAGCATTTAATGAAACACTCTGGAAGATAAGATACTGCTTCCCAAATATTGTTGTCCTTTAAGTCCTATAGTGTATGCAGTGTAGATGATAATTGGAGGAAAAAATCCCAGAGATCATGTTTGACAGTAGCAGACCCCTGTGTTGGCAGTTATGATAAGCACAACAGTGAGGGTTATCCTGTTTATAAATGCAACACATTTGCAATGCACTCAAAGGAGAACAAAAGAGCGGAAAGCTGGGAAAAACATGCAAATTTCACAACTAAAATGAAGGAACCAAACAGGTCAAATAAGTCACAAACAAACATCAACAAAATACATGATCCCTATAGTAAATACGTGATTTTAAACCTTTTCATCCACAGAACCGCTATCTGAAAGAGAATTGGGAAGAAGGGGAATATAGGTTAGACAAAGCAGTGTCTCAGAAAATATCTTATGCTATAAAAATCCAACACTGTTTTAATCTGCTGATGCAGAGCAGAATCCAAGTAATACCTGTGCTTAGCTGTACCACTGTGACAAGACCTCTGTCACTCCGTTTTAAACAAGCAAAAATTTTTTCTCAGTAGATACGAACCCCTGCCACTTAAGCACGTAATTTCTATACTGCATCCCATCTCCACATGATCTTTAGGTGGTTTTGTTTTTTAATAATAATCAATATATATTTAATATAATTGCAGTGTTCAAAAAAAACAATGCTCTATTTTCAAGGAAAATGAGTGTTTCTACTAAGGACATTAAATAAATAAATAAATAGATCTCCTGAACTGTAACTGTTCTGTTCTAGCACAGCTATTCATAAAATGACAGAAACTACTCCCCAAATGTCAATGGAAGAATGACAATTGTGAAAGTATAACGCATGATACCTATATATCATAAATTGCTCAATGAGAAAGTGTGAAGTATTCACATTTACTAGCAGACAGAAAATATTTGCTGACAGAAAAAAATACCCTTAATTTTCTTGTCAATTCTAAAATGCAAGTACATATAAAATTGATGTTATATACTATTCCACCAATAAGTATCTCTTTTCTTTTCACACTTTATATTACAGTCCATACATGAAATTGCATTGTTTTAATTGTCACCTTACTGATCTTTCCATTTTTCCTCCACAAATGGAGCACAAATTCTACAGGCCCTTTAAATAGTTAAGGTATTTTTAAGATGTTTAGACATCCCACATTACATACATTACAAAATGATCATATACACCTTAAAAATGTGCCACGTTTCATTTTTAAATCAATTTATCTACAAGAAAATATCACATTCAAACACATATATGAAAAATATATTGGCAAATGTAAAGGTGCATACAGTATAGTACTCACAATCCAAGGAACCAAAAGGCTCTACTATGTCACTAATTTTAGAGGCCACTTATGTAACCAAAGAAAAGAAGCAAAGCACACACACAAGAAGAGGCAGAGTAGAAACTGGGAATAAGTTGTTCAAAACACGTTTTACCAGTGAGATTATATCTGGTCATGTATTATTCAAAAAGGTTCAAGAGGATTGAGATACCAGGTACTAGCAATGTCACAACACCAAATTTGAATGCTGGAAAACTCAACAACGCAACAGTCTCTCCTCCTGTGTGAGACCACAAAATTTGCCATTTTCTTATGCTTGACTACAGATTTTAGCTTTTACTTCACAGTCAGGGTAAACAATCCTTTTAGAAAGAGTGGGCCTAAAAGAACGAGCTATAGTTTATTCTCCCAAGGAAAACATGTTTTGAGTTATACAGAATATTAAATTAAAACTATTACTGATAGTAAACTCCACAATTTAGTAAAAATAGCGTAAACGCTTCTCTCTGCACCAAGAATACCTGCTTGCCATGAACTGATTCTTTTCATAGTTCTTCTCCTGAATATAAATGGACATAGCACCAATTGCTATTGTTATGCTTTACATTAAGGTATTGTTTCTGCTGAGACATTAACTATTCTGGTGTTTTCTCACTTCACAATGTCCTCCCTTCAGAAATACTACAATTTTTATTTTGCTTCAGAAATGAATTCTTGACTAAATCAAGCTACAGTGTTTTAGTTGTCAAATTACCCTATTTTGACTGAATAAATATATAGATATCTAAATCTCAGTATTATTTATGTGAAAGGCATTTAAACAGTTTGCAGGCACTTGGCTACCAGCTGCCTAAAAAAAATCACATGAATTGTATGTTTAATTCAGTTGTTTAGAAAGTTATATTAAAAATACAAAATTGGTGAGACTTGTCTTCCACTTTAAATGGAACTTTGTATTTCAGAGCATGAGAGATGGACATGAAATTTTCTTTACCTCTCTTGGGTTTCAGCCAGCTTCATCTAATTTCACTACATTTCCTTTACTGGAACCTAATTTTGCCTAAATTTAGGAAGGAGAGGACAATCAAAAGTTAGGAAGGGGAAAAAAAGGCATTACATGTTTGACTCAACTTGTTTTTCTTTGCAGTTGCTACTTAAAAAAAATAATAAAAATGCACCAGTCTAATGGCCTCTTTTTTCAATAGACATTGCATAAAGCAGACAACTGACGCAAATTTCCCAAAACAAGATTTTGAGAGCATCTCTTTTTTGTAAGAAATGACTGCATCTTCAGAGACAAAATTAGTTTGAAAACTTCATTGTTTCTTGCTTCTTCTGAACTCACCATGAGTGAAATAATCTGAACTGTGGAAGTGTTCTCTGTGTCTATGAGAGCACCAAATCAGGAAGCGTACAGTCACCAAGCAAGTCACTTCGGTAGTCATTAGGCTACCAGAATAGACAGCAACATTCCTTGACATAGATAAGAAATGAACTGTGATTACGTAAGAGACCACTGAATGTATTTTCAAATCAGGGATACAAGGCTAGACATCTCAGATTATACTGCTGAATGACAATGATTTACTTAAAAGAGCTTATCTTCGTATAAATCATTTCTGTCTTCCACACATTTTACGGCAAACAACTAACCTAAAAAAGTTATGAATGTACTAAGAACAGTGTAAATGCTGGTTTCATGTAGTTAACCCTATGGGATACTTCAGTTTTTCAGTTAGTTTCTCCTTGGATTTTTATTTCATGTGAAAATTCACTACATTATGAAATACAAGTATAGCCTTTGTGTTATGCCTCTGTACCATATGCCATTTTAGGTAACTGGAAAGTGTTTTACTGGGATTATAGGAAAAATCCATGTAGTGATATCACTTCTTAATCGTAGCTATTTCAGAGCTCAGTGCATTCCATAGATATACCTGTGCAGTGGAGTCATGAAGAGTAGGATGATCATCTAGTTACTTACAAGTGAAAATTATATTTACAGAACTCAAATAATGAAGGCAAAAGGAACCCCTCCTCCTTTTTTTTTTTTCTTTTAGGCAGTCTGATAGTTTCAAACTCAATTATATTTAATTAGGTAACTGGTAAAAAGAAGAAAAAACTGTCTTAGTTAAGGATACTGTAGTGGTACAAGGTTTCTGCATCACATTCATTTGAATGTATATAACAACTAAGACAAAGAAAAAGAAAAGGTAAACATATCATTAGAGCATGATGATCAGCTACCATACCACATTTCTCCAAATAAGCTCATTTTCTATGCAGAGTAAGAATCAATGACAGAACACAAAAACTTCAGAAAGGAGAGGCTAACTTTAACCTGTGGTATTTAGCAAACCACACTTCTTTAGCAAACCATATTTTAAAATGCTCCTGCTTAGCTAGAAAGTTCTCTCCAGCTCTGTACCATTCTTTACCACTGATCTTTAATCCTCCTGAACTTGGGTCACCACAACTCCATGCAGAGATACAAGCTTGGGTAAGGATGCCTAGAGAGCTGCCTGGCAGAAAAGGACCTGGGGGTGTTGGTCAACTGTTGGCTGAACATGAGCCAGCAGTGTGCCCAGGTAGCCAAGAAGGCCAACAGCATCCTGGCCTGTATGAGAAACAGCATGGTGAATACGACTTGGAAGGTGATTGTCCCCCTGTACTCAGCACTGGTGAGGCCTCACCTCAAATACTGTGTCCAGTTTGGGGCCTCTTACCACAAAAAAGACATTGAGGTGCTAGAGCAGGTCCAGAGAAGGGTGAGGGGTCTAGAGAACAAGTCTTATGAGGGGCGGCTGAGGGAGCTGGAATTGTGCAGCCTAGAGGAAAGGAGGCTGAGGGGAGACATTATTGCTTGCTACAGCAACCTAAAAGGAGGTTGTAGGGAGGCGGGGGTCACTCATTATTTAACTTTTGCATTTTTCTAAGCAGCAGAGCATCATCCTAATACACTTCTATTTCTTTAAAGACTGCAAAAATTTAGTTCACCACCCACCCATCACACCACAAGAACTGTAATAAGCTCATAAAAATCGAAACTGTTAGGAAACCCTAGGATTAAAATGGTATTACGTATATTACCTTCATTTTTTATAACACCAAATTGGAAAAAGATTTAAATTTCATTATTCTCTTGAAGTACCATTTTAATCTTTAATTCTGCAAAACGGTTGCAAGAATGTGAAACTGAATGATAATTACGTCATTCCTGGAAGCAAACCCTTTAGACATCATACTTGCTGGAATTAGATAACAATACAGCTGTTTCATGGAAATAACGTGTAAAGTATCCATAGTCAGAAGTAGTTTGTGGTCTGAGCTGGACAATTCTAATTAGTATGTGTTGCTAAGAACGGGAAATAAAGGATGAAAACCAAGGTCAAATAAAAGCAGCACATTAAAGTAGTAGGTTGTTTGTCCAAAACAATAACACAAATTAAGCCATGCTAAAATAACAAATGCTGTACCCAGAAGCTACTATTATCACTACAGAATAGAATATTACAGTGTACAAGCATACAGTATGTTGTGTTGCTGAACCAAATTCTAGGAAGACATACCGTATAATGCTTGAAAGATAATATTAAAGCTAGCACATCATAAGAGATGAGTGATGCTTGTCTGACAAAGAGAAGGTCAAACTTGAATAAAGCTTGCTTGACAGGAGAAATAGAAGAATTGCTGCTAGCACTTTACTAGCAGTGATGTAGAAAAATTACTAGCGGATACACTGAGAGCCAGAACAGGAGGTCAGCTTGGGGAAGATAAAAAACTGCATTTGTGTTTTTATTAATAAACTAGTGTGTAAATCTGAAACAAGAGGACATGCTTTAAAAACATCTCTGGTCTTTAGAAATTGAGTCCCATTAGACTTCTAAGGGATTTTGTTTTCTATTGTCTTTCAACAGCTACTAGATAGTTCTACCAACTTCTGAAACTTACCTCTAAAAGAATAAATTATTGACTATCAAGACAACTATTTCTTTATAGAACATGGTATGATACTAGTGCTTCTCAATCTTTGGTGGTCTCAAAAA